CTCGCGGTGGCAACTTAAGAGATTTTCACTTTTGCCTTTCTTTCTGGCGAGGGGAGGGAAGCTGATGTTGTCCCTCGCTGTCGGCCAGGTGCAATCTTTTTTCCTCTATGTTTTCCTCTATAATAATAATAACTATCGTTATTTGATTTGTGCTTTAAATATCTCCTCCGAGGCGAGCCGAATAAGACCGTGGCGAGTCTTTCCTCCGCGCACACGTGCGGTTTGGGGCAGGGGCTTAGCGCTGCGGAGAAGCCGGCACTTCTTCTCCTTCGGTTGGGCTCTTTCCGGGTGAAAATTCGAGGCAAGGGCGAGCTCCCAACGTCTGTTTTTTTTTTTTTTTTTTTTTTTTTTTGTCCATCGGCTGCTTATTTATTTATATATTTACTTACTTACTTATTTTTATATTTTTGCTCTGCTTTCCCATCTCAAAGCAGCAGACTCGCGATGGGCAGGAGCTCGCAGCCGCCCCGTACGCCCCTCGCGCCGGACCGGGGCCAGGGCTGCTGCCGGCAGCGCCCGCGATATCGGCGGGGCAGAACCGCGCGCTCCTCTTGCTCGTTTATTTGTGCTTGGAAGGGCTCCACGTCTCACTTTCCTCGGAAAAAAAAATAATGAAATATGGGGCGAGCTTTGTTCTGTTTGTTTAAGTAGCGTTCGCTGGCTTATTCTCTGTGGTTTTAAGTGCAGCTATTTTATTATTATTATTTGCAACCGTTGGCTGGTCTCTTTTTCTTCTCGAGAAGCTGCTGTTGCACTGGCGTGCGCATGAACGCCATGATTAGAAGATGCCAAATTACACCCACACAGTCCTCCCAGTTCCCCCCAAATACAGACCCTCACCCACGCAGACATTTCGGCCCAGTGTTTTTTCTCCTCACCTCCAACTTTGAGAGGGCTCCAGCGTTATCGCGCCAGGGCTCTGCCCTGCCGCAGCTCTGAGCAACACTCGGGTTTGCTGAAACTTCCGTGAAACGCGAAAGAAACGAGAGAGAGGCGGAAAGGGGAGAAGGGCCCGAGGCAGGGCGGGGGGGCAAGAAGAGCGTGGGGGAAAGAGGAGGGGGCTGCGCAGGGTAGATCTAAACCATGCCATTTATTCCAAGTCTTATCAAAAATCCGCCTCGCCAATCTGGTTCTCTTCAGGCTACAGAATGCGACAGGGAGGCTGTTTACCCTGCACTGACCTATTCAACTTTACCCTCAAAATAATACATTAAAAAACGAGAGCGAGAGGGAGAGGAGGAAGATGCAGATAAACCCACATGCCCGCTCCTCGCTGACGGGTTGATTATTTGAATATAGCTGGGGCTCGGCGCTTTGTATATCTTTGCTGTGGCCGGGGAAGGGGGCGAGCGGCGAAGGTGCTGCCTGGGGCCGGCGAGAAGCGGAGCGAGGGGGTGAGGAAGAGGAGGGAGTGGGGCTGGGGCAGAGGGGGACGGGTCTCCCGTCCCGTAGCTGTCACAGCAGCGGGAACAAGAGCTACAAACAGGCACTCACACCAGGGTCCACCTTCACCGGGATTCAGTCCCATTCCGCCGTGTTTCATCTCCAGGCTTTTTTTTTTTTTTTTTTTTTTCCCAGGTTATCCTGCTTAGTCGAGTCCAGTTGGGTCGGGGGTCTCTTCCCCGCTTCCCCCCCTCCAAGGCCTCCGAAAGCAAATATAGATAGTTTGCTTTAAATACACCCCCAGGCCGCCTTTGAGGGCAGGGGCAGCTGCGGGGTTGGGGAGGGAGGGGAGTCGGGGGTGATGTGATCTTGGGGAAACCAGTGATTTATTTAATGTGTGTGTGGGGAATATTCCCAGTATTCCCAGGCGCTGAATTTTCTCTTTAGTAGGGAGAGATAGATGCAAGAGGGAGGGAGTGAGGAAGGAGGTAAGGAAGATGTGGGGGGGAGGGGAGGGCTGCTGGGGAGTTTGATGATGGTCTTTGTGCCTTGTTCTTGTTTGCCGGCCAGAAAAATACGCTGGGAAAAAAAAAAAATGATTTTTTTTTTTTCCGGGGAGGATGAGGTAGGGAGGCCGAGTCGAGCGAAGCGGCTCTCCCCGGAGCAGGATCCCAGCTGGTTGGGCAGCGGGTCCAGGCACTTGGCGAGCGG